AACTTGGGATCTTGCTAAGCAAGCACTTATGCCACTGAGCTATTTCCCCAGCCCTAGACCAAACCTACAGAACAACAGTTATCTTGGTACTGGGGATTGAACCCAGTGCCTTCACAATGAGCTACAACCTGGCTTTCATTTGCTTTGTATTTTGAGACAGTATCTAGCAAAGCTGCCCAAGATGGGCTCAAATTTGAGATCCCCCTGCCTCAGCCACCCAGAGTGCTGGAATTACAGGTATGTGCCACCATGCCTGCCTAAATTTAAATTTTTTAAGACTAGCAAGCATTATGGAGCACATTCATTCACATTCCGAATACCCTATCCTGGATCAACCCCCAAGCCCATTCCTGACCGCCTACCACTTCTGACCCTGATTCCTCTCTTACATTCACCCAACCCCGGCCAGCCCTGTCCTGGGTGTCAGCCCCTCCCTGAGGTGAATTGTGTCCCTGGCCATCTAATGCTCACCCTTTCTACTAACTGCAACACCAGTACAGTGGTGCCTCAGTTCACAATCATAATTTTTTTTACAATTCTGGTCACAAACTGAATTCAACAAGAATAGAATCCAATTTCTCCATGAGGCCAACACTGACCCTAACCATTGAATTTGATTTGGCTCTCATCCAATTCAGTTTTCAACCAGAATCATGAAAAGAATTAAGTTTGTAAACCCAGGTACCAGTGAATTTGATATGTCAATATACTGTCTTATTGAAGTATCAAAATTCTGACATCTTAGAAAACCTGAAGTCCAAACTATGGTGGTGAATGTCTATACTCCAAGCACTCAGGAGACTGAGTCAGGAGGATCACCATGGGTTCAAGGCCAACCTGGGCTACATAGTGAGTTCAAAGCTAGCCTGAACTGCATTTGGAGACCCTGTCTCAAAAAAAAAAAGGAAATCTAAATCACCTACAGGTATGTCTCAAACTATGCCTAGAGAATCACATACCATCTTTGCTAACCTTATCAATTAATATTACACTTGTTTGGAAAGAGGTCTAACTATACCCTTCCTCTGTTTAAAACTCTTGCTTGTTGTTTTACTGCTATTTAATTCTCATCAAATTATGAACAAGACTGACTGTCAGTTCTGGTTTTATGTTTTGTCTTTTTGTGGCTGGCTCAGCCCACCCTGGGTGGGGCTGGCACAGCAGGTGGTGCTGGGGTTCGAACCTTGGTCCCTGAACACTTGCCTAAGCTTGCATAAGCAGGTGCTTTAGACTGCTGAGCTATTTCACCGGCTCCAGTTCTGACATTTATTGGTCATTGGTGTTTCCCTAGACCCAATGTGGATCCTCATTTACTTCCAGGAGCCTGAGGGAGTTGTCCATAGGGTGCCATAGAGTGAAGGAGAAGAAAGATAAATGCTAAGGAAACACTGAGAGAAGCAGAGGAGCCCTAAGGGAAGGAAAGAGGGGACAGAGGCCCCAGTTTTCTCCCTTACCTGATTCTTTCTGCTTTCTTCCCTGCTTCTTTCCTGAGTCAGATCCATCCCCAGGGACTTGAGCCCAACTTCTTCACCACCAGCCTGCCTGGAGAACATCATGTTGGCCAAGCAGAGGTGCCTCAGAAACTTCTGGAAGGGCTGGTGAGATGGCTCAGTGGTCTAAAGCACCTACTTAGAACAAGCTTAGCAAAGCACAGGGACCCTGTTCAATCCCCCAGCACCACATGCCAGCCAGCCCCGCCCCCTGGTGGGCTGAGCTGGCCACACACACACACACACACACACACACACACACACATAAAAATAAATAAAATTAAAAAAAAAAAGAAAGAAAGAAACTTCTGGAAGCTTCTAGAAACTTCTAAAAGTTTTCAATGGTAGTCCAGAGAGATTGCAGTGAATAATGAGGATGATTCAGGGGTGGGGTGAAAGCTTGGGTCAAGTGAAAAGTTCAGACAATGACTTTTAGGAATAGGGAGAGATCTGGAGGCCAGGATGAGCTGAGTAAGAATCAGAGACTTGGGAAGAATTCACTCATTGCCAGGACAAAGTTAGAGGGAAGGTTAGGGTATAATAAATATGGGGGGTTTCCAGGGAGAGCTCAGAAATGGAATGGATGTCAGAGGTGGGTGAGTGCCTACAAGGCTGGAGCACAAAGCCCTCACTGGTAGAGCCACCATCCCCTCTGGACTATCATCAAAGCTTTCATTGAGGAGTTTCCAGAATCTTCCGGAGGTTTCTGGGGAGAATCTCTTCATGGCCCACCTGAGATTCTCCAGGCAAGCTGATGGGGAAGGAGTCAGGGGCTCAGATCCTCAGAGATAAATCTGACTCAGGAGAGAATCAGGGTAGAAAGCAGAAAGAATCTGGTAAGGCAGGCAGAAAACTGGAGCCTCTTTCCCCTCCCTTCCTCCCTCTCATCGCAGTCTCAGCTTTGACCACAACCCCACCTTGGAGCCTCAGCCTCCAGCCATCCCTAACTGTGCCCACCTCCCATAAACCAACACCTTCCAAGATCTACGCCAACTCATTAGAACTGGGTTTGTACCATTAGCAATCACAGGAACCCTGGTGTCATCAGAACTCTCTTGCAACACTTCTGCACAGATCAAAACTAGAATGACAGTAAACCACAAAGGCAAACTTGAGGAGCAAGATGTGTTGCCCAGGACGGCAGGAAGGTGACAGGGAGAAAAGAGATAAGAGGTTCTCAGAGCAGATGGTGCACAAATGAACTCAGGCCTTTTTAGCACCATTCATTCAATAAATATTGACTGAGCATTTATTGGGCTCTGGGATACGTGTCGGACACCAGGGATGTGCAGTGAACAAAACAGAAGCATTTTGCCTTCAGAGAGGGAAAATAGAAACAACTGTAGTTCTGAGTAAGCATGGGGGTGGGGTCTCACACAATACAAAGGAGCCAGGCAAGATCTACCCCAAGACAGAAATTTTATTGGAAATATGGGACTGGCCAGCTGGCTGACAAGTGTGTGTGAGTCTGTGCAGTTGCTACTGCTCCTTGTCAAATGGGCAAGTCTTGCTCCGTCCACGGCTCTGCACATATCCAGCATGTTCATTGTCCTGTCTCTGACCACAGAGTCAAGAGGATTTCATGTGAAAGCTCTGGTTTCCCAAACATCCTTTGTTCACCCACCCACAGCACCCAAGGGCAAATTATTTCTGACTCCAGCACAAGGCCACCTGGTGGTGTGGTGCCTTAGCAGCACCTGCCTTGAAGTCCTCAGCAGATACTACAATGTATGAGAGGTACAAAAAGAATCCCATAAGATCAGAGGGCACAGAAAATGTAGAGGCACTACACAGCCTGTTTAGAACATACTCGGCATTTGGGGTGATGTTCCATTGTGAACTATCAAGAGGATCCAGCCATTTGTACAGACCCCAGTTCTTTGCTCTACTGTAAGATGCAGGCTTCAGATGGAACTGTGCTTATTACCCAGTTAGTGGATCAAAGATGCACAAGTTCAACAAAAATGAGGCTGCTCCTTTTCACAGCAATGGGAAGTTGGTCCCTGGAGGTCTCTAGTACTTCCTCAGAAGGCTGGTGCAGTCCCTGAGGCACAATCCTGACCCCCACACTCTGTAGTTGCCCTTCAAACCCAGAGGAATTGGTTCAAGCCAGTCAATCCCACCCACCAACCTTGGGGTGATGGCTATTATCCCTATGAAGAGGGAGAGACTGTCATCACTGGCTTTCAGAGGTTGGAAGCGACAGTGCTGGAGGAGCTGTAAGAGGACACACGATGGCGAGTCAAGAACTCCTTGCTCATTAGGCCACGGGCAGCGAGGATCTTTAAGAGTCCATGGCGAAACTTTTGGCCAATGAAGGCATAGATGATGGGGTTGAGGCAGCTGTGAAGGAAGCCCATGATCTCAGTGGCCTCCAGGGCCAAGTTGATGTGATTGCGGCGTTCACACGTCTCCTCAATCCATTTGTTCCTCATGAGGGTGTCCAAGAGCAGGACCAGGTTGTAGGGCAGCCAGCAGAGCAGGAAGACAAGCACAACGGCGAAGATGACCCTCATGGCCCGGTGCTTCTGCCCCATGTGGGCCTTAAACAGCGTGCGCAGCGTGAAGCCATAGCAGAGCAGCATGACCAGCAGCGGCAGGATGAAGCCATAGATCTGGGACATGAACCGGAGCACCAGGCGCCATCTGGTTGTGTTACTACCTAGAAACTCATAGCAGACTAGGAAGGAGTCATGTACGGGAAAGGCTTTGCGAAAGAGGCAGGTGGGCAAAGACAGAATCAGAGAGACAATCCAAATGCCTATACATATGAACTTGACCAAGTGGCGCTTGTGGGTCAGCGTATGTGTGGCATGGACAATGGCCAGGTAGCGGTCCACGCTGATGCCGACAAGCAGTAGAATGCCACTGTAGAAGTTGACTTCCTTCACAAGTGAGATGATCTTGCACATGGGTGTGCCAAAAATCCAGCCTTTCTCCTTGTAGACAGCCCAGAAGGGCATGGTCAGAGCAAAAAGCAGGTCAGCAATGGCCAAGTTCAGCAGGTAGACATCAGTGACAGAGCGGGTGACCTGGCTGCACAAGATGACCACCATCACCAAGGAGTTTCCCAACAGGCTCAGCAGGAGCACCACAACATAGATGGCAATCAGAGCAGAACTGTTGAGTGCCTGAGTGTCTATCAGACAGGGGCTAAAATCCTCTCCTGTGGGTGGAAAGCCAGTGATATTTTCGAACCCTACAAACCACAGCTCATCAGAAAAATTCCAGACGTCCTTATATTCACCCATGACTGGATCTAGTGGAAAGATTAAAGGGGGAAAAAATGTGATTTAGTAACTCAGATTGAAGTCACTGTCTTCACAGATGTGAAGGGACAGCTTTTACTCCTTTTGCTCTGGCAACCAGAGATTCCTCCCTTCATCTCCAATTTGAACTTCTTTCAAAATTGGTTGCCAGAAGCATCAACCTTCTGGAATTCGGAGGTCCATCCCTAGTGTGGGATAAGACAAGAATACAAGAAAGATTCTTTGGCCTTAGTTGGCCCTACAACCATCACAACTCACCCTAACTCTTCCCCCTTTCACCTTCTCTGTCCTCAGCCTTGTCTGTGCATTAGGATGGAGGAACCAACCTGACTGGTCTTACACACTCAGGGGTGGGCCAATTCAGCAAAGCAGAAGGCTGCAAGCTTGCGCAGGTGTCCCTTTCTACCTTGTTTCTTCTTCTGTGTTCTCCCTAATTCTTGTTTACCTTTTTAAAAACCTACTAGAAGAACTGATACCAAATTGCATTAAACTGCATAGGTGCTCTTTGAGTTACGATGAGGTTGCATTCAAGTAAACCCTTCCTAGGTTGAAAATATCCTAAGTCAAAAGTGCACTGCATACGACTTACCTATGCCATAACTTAGCTTAACCTACCTTAGATAGTCTCAGAAGAGTACATTAACCTACAGTTGGGGAAAAAGTCCTAGCATAAGGCCTGTTTTATTTTTAAGTATTGAACATCTAATATAATTTATTTATTTTTATTGATTGATTGATTGATTGATTGATACAGAGTCTTGCTAGGCAGACTCATAGTCATCCTCTTGTCTCAGCCTCCCTAGTCCTGGGATTACAGGCATGCACCACCACATCTGATTACAGGGCCAGTCTGCATGTGGTACCAGGGATTGAACTTGGGACCTTGCACTTGCCAGGCAAGTGCTTATGCCACTGAGCTATCTCCCCAACCCTTAATGTAATTTACTGAGTACTGTATTGAACATGACGAACAAGATGACTGTTGGTAAAGTCAAAACTAATGAGTCAAACCAACAGAAGATGGGAACAATCTATATTTTAAGCCCGTCTTAAATGACAAGTCAATATTTTGGTCCTATGTCTAAAGAAAGTTTAAGCAAGGGAGAGGACAAAAATTTCCATCTTGGTCCTTAAGCTCCACCACCCCCATATATCCACACTCAGCAGTTTTCAAGACATTATTTTTAATCATGAAATAGTTAAAAGCCCAGAAGTGCAATCTGTGAACAGATCAAAGCCGAGTCGCTGAGGGAAATAGGATTACATGCTACTTTGTCTGCCTAGACAGCACCCACGGAGCATTCCCAAGCCCCCAGGACTCTCCAGAGAATAGCTCCAAAGTTATCCAGGGGAGATCTGGATGCTGGGGCCCACTCTCTCCCACATGATCTTGTCCAGGACTCCTTTTCCTTACAGATTTCCATTTTCTCTCTGCACACTGATTGGAGACAAAGAAGACAACTTCTTATTGGCTTCCAAGTCTAGTATACTGATAAGTTCATTCTAGTGGGCAGTTCATTCTACATATTCTAGCATATTCGCTCCTTGCCAGCGTTTGCATTTCCATGGAAGACAAAAATCTTAGGATAAAGCAATAAACATCAAATTGGACAACTGTCAACTTCTGTCACACAGAAGAGAGGATGAAGAGCTCATGGCCTCCTGACATCAACCACTACCACCTCAGAGGTCAGAATCAAATACATAGTCCCTGAGGAGGAGGCCACCCCAGATCCCACAGAAATGAGTCCATGTCCTAAAATAAAGTTAAACCCTTGTACCCCAAATAAAGTCCTGCCAAACAGGAGGCTTCCTACCTGAGGCACCAGCCAAGTGTGTCCGATTGTACAAGACAGCAGCTCAGAGAGTAGAGTGACCTCACAGAGGGAACTAGATGAATAAAGCGAAATTGAGAAACCACATGACCACACCTCCCTCCTGAGCCCCACCCATGTCTGCATTTAAGGAACATATTAATATAGGATCCCAGCCCATCAGAGACTCCAAGAATCTGTATGAGCAGGTAGGGTTACCAGATATGATGCTGGGGTTAAAGTTCCATTAACTGATGTTCTCCGCTCTGTGATGATCATTTTTATCATTTGTTCCCCAAATTCCTTAGTAGATGCCCTTTGGAAACTTTTAGCATTCCTGACAAAAGTAAAGTTGAGCTGGGTGTGGTGGCACATGTCTGTAATAGCAGCTACTTCAGAGACTGGGCAGCAGGAGCACAGATTTAGGCCAGCCTGGGTAACTTAGTGAGACCCTATCTCAAAATTAAAAATATTACTTGCAAGCACAAGGTCCTGAGTACAATCCCCAGTACAAAAATAAAAAGAAAAATATTAAAAGGGATGGAAATTTAAGCCATGGTAGGGCCTTGAGTTCAGTTTTGAAGAGCTGACCGTGTGGTGGCACTGGCCTATAACCCCAGCACTTGGGAGGCTGAAGCTAGAGGAT